CCCCTCACCCTATAAAGCCTTAAGCCCGAAACATTTTGCGACCTTTTGGGTTTTCAGTGGTTGCACGTTCCCCAAGTTTGAGAAAACCACCCCAATGCCCCCTCGCCAGGCCTGCCCGACGCAAAGTCTGAGACAGGCCAAGATGACCCTGCACCTGGGCCGTTTAGGGATCGAGGTTTTGGATTCAGGGTTTAGGGTTTAGGGTTTAGGATTCAGGGTTTAGGGTTTAGGGTCTAGGGTTTAGGGTTTAGGGATCAGGGTTTAGGGTTGAGCGTTTAGGGCCCTCTCTTTCGTTTTTCCTATCCGTGCGGCGTTCACACATGTCTGTCGAATCTTTTAGCATCTCTAGTCCTTATTCCGGAGTTTTTGCTGGTGGGGAGTTTCCTGGGGGCGTTCTTCCAGAGTCCTTCCTGCAAACCCTAAACCTTAAAAACCCTGAAGCCCCAAACCCTAAACCCTCAACCCCAAACCCCAAACCCCAAACCCCAAACCCTAAACCCTAAAGCCCAAACCCCAAACCCCAAACCCTAAACCCTAAACCCTAAACCCCCAACCCTAAATCCCAAACCGCAAAGACCTTAAAGCTGCCTCAAAGTTCCCGCCCGAGGAAGCGCGCGGCCGAGAAGAAGTTCACGAAGTCCCTGGAGGAGCCACTATTTGCCTAAGAACCCTAAACCCTAGACCCTAAATCCAAAAATCAAGATGCTTAAGCCCTGAACCCTAGATTGCCCTTATACGGAAGTTTTTTTTTTTTTGGGGTGGGGGGGGGGGGGGCTCTTCAGCAATTCCTGGAGGAGCCACGCGATCCTCCGGGTGTCTCTCTGGGGTGGGTTTAGGGTTTAGGGTTTAGGGTTTGGGTTTAAGGTTTGGGAGTTAGGGTTCAGGGTTTAAGGTTTGGGAGTTGGGGTTTAGGGTTTAGGGTTTGGGGCTTCAGGTTTGGGAGTTAGGGTTGTGGGTTGTGGGTTGTGGGTTTGATGATGCCGGGTTTCGGGCTCTGGGATCCCCCTCAGAGGGCCTGTCACCAACTCTCCACACTGGGAAGAGCATCGACGCATGCGTATAGCTTTCATGTGTGTACCCTAAACCCCAAACCCCAAACCCCAAACCCCAAACCCTAAACCCTAAACCCTAAACCCTAAACCCTAAACCCTAAACGCATCCCACCGAGCCGGAAGCCTCGAAGTGCGAGGAGGCCGTGGTGAACGCCAGAGCGGTTGGCCTTCCAGAGGAGGACCCCAGCCGACCCTGGTGCCCCTAAGCGCTTCAGTAGGGTTTAGGGTTTAGGGTTTAGGGTTTAGGGTTTAGGGTTTAGGGTTTAGGGTTTAGGGTTTAGGGTTTAGGGTTTAGGGTTTAGGGTTTAGGGTTTAGGGTTTAGGGTGTAGGGCTTAAGGCTTAGGGCTTAGGGTTCAGGGTATTGCGGGGCAGGGTCAAGAGCCAAGGGGGCAAGTGGTTTTGGGAAGGCCCCTCAGGGTACAAGAGCATGGGCTTGGGGATCGAATCGGTTCCTTCTCGCGATTGTTTCCCGGCTTCCCTAGACCCTAAACCCTAAACCCTAAACCCCAAACCCTAAACCCCAAACCCCAAACCCTAAACCCTAAACCCGAAACCCTAAACCCTAAACCCGAAACCCGAAACCCTAAACCCTAAACCCCAAACCCCAAGCCAAAGCTTCCTTCCGTCAGGACCCTGACCTCGAGCGGGCCGTGTCACTGCTGAATGACATTTTGTGGCCCGGCCGCGGTTCTCCTGGCCGACTCCGTAGCGTTTGCTTGGGGTTTGATAGGGTTTAGGGTTTAGGGTTTAGGGTTTAGGGTTTAGGGTTTAGGGTTTAGGGTTTAGGGTTTAGGGTTTAGGGGACAATTCCGATCAAGCTGTGGGCACAGAGAGAAGATGTCTGATCGGAGCTCGGGTTTAGAGTATGTACCCAGACCTCAGATGGGCCATTGGCCTCTTCAAGACATTGCATACAAATTCCTGAGGAGGCATATATCCAAAAGAAGACGACTGCAATCAAAAGAGATTCTCCGTGCCACACTGCAGACGGCCATCATCACCAACTTCCGGGCTGACATCAGCGCAAATAGCGTACCATTGTCCGGAGCGCAGCCGCAATGCACGGTCAATCCTCGTCGACGGCAGTGGGCAGGCAACTTCGTGCAGACTTCAGCTTACGTCGATTCTTACATAGCAACAGCCTCTCGTTGACATTCTTCAAGGATCTCCGAAGCATATGCTCCAACCTGAAGGTTCTCATGCTTGATCCCGTTCACCTGGGTCTATGAGCTGTGAGTACGCACCTTCGAGTAAAAGAGCGCCGGGGCCGAAAGCGCTTCGGAGCGTACTGAAAAGAAGTAACGGCTGCGGATCGTTCTCTGGACGGACATACTTTGGCTTCCTGTTTATGATGGCGACGCGTCACGGCCACTGAACGATGAAAGCATCTAGGGTTCATCAGAGAGCCGCAAGGGCATTCGACAGATGTATTCTTGTGTGAGAAGATGGAAGTTTAGATGTTGAGCTTAGGGTTTAGGGTTGTGACGAAAACTCGTATCCCGTAAGGTTGGCAAAACTCACATACTCTTGACAGTAGAACTGTGTTTCGTATATGAACAGATGTGTATGCTTTTCTGACCTATTTATATGTTGGTATCAGATATTATACAACGAAAAGAAAAGCCCAATGCTAAATAGACCCCAAAGGTTCCTGGCTCATATACATATATTTGTATATATATATGATATATATATATTATACATTTACAGAAATATATGCTATGTATATATATATATATATACATACATATTTCTCCTACGTAGATAGCGTCGGGGTATGTAGAGGTCAGAAAGGTCATCATCAACTGCCAGCTCCGTGCAACCGAGGCAGCCAATAGACGCGCGCTGCGTCACGTCTGCGCACACGAGGGCTGCCCCCTGGGCTCCGGTTACGACGACACGGGCAAGTTTCATCTAGGGGCTTAAGTTAAATCTACCCAAAACCCCAAAACCCCAAAACCCCAAACCCCAAACCCCAAACCCCAAACCCCAAACCCCAAACCCCAAACCCCAAACCCCAAACCCCAAACCCCAAACCCCAAACCCCAAACCCCAAACCCCAAACCCCAAACCCCAAACCCCAAACCCCAAACCCCAAACCCCAAACCCCAAACCCTAAACCCTAAACCCTAAACCCCACACCCTAAACCCTAAACCCCAACCCCAAACACTAAATCCTAAAGCCCAAGGTCCATGAGTGTGGAAGAAGTTGCAGGGATGGGGGGGGGGGGGGGGACCTGGCAGTCCTCAAGATGTCGCCTGCAGTGTCAGTCAGTCCCGAATCCGATCATGACACGCCTAGGGTTTAGGGTTTGGGGTTAGGGTTTAGGGTTTCGGGTTTCGGGTTTCGGGTTTAGGGTTTAGGGTTTAGGGTGATTAACCCACGACCCCAACATCCCCCACTGCCAAGGCGATGAAGCTGAAACAGGCTTGGCCGGCAAACCGGGAGGCAGCTCAAAGGAATTTAAGGAGCTGGGGAGGTGAGTACTTCTTGGAATCCAGTATGGAACCTTCATCCGACCTTTAAAGGCACGAGGTAAAAACTCCGCATTGAGGTAGGGTTTCCGGGAGGGCTGAGGGGTTCAGGAGGCGATTGTGAGGGCATCACTGAAAAGCGTTGAGTGTTAGGAGGTTTCAGAGGTTTCACAAAGTCGACCCCTCCCCAAACCCTCAACCCCAAAACCCTAAACCCGAAACCCTAAGCCCTAAACCCTCCCTGAAGCGCTTCTACTTCAGAGGCGCGGTCGCTGACGCCTCGGCAGCGTCGTGCGGCACTCCAGGAGCATCTTTTAGGGCGTTAGTGTTTTTCTAAGGGGCTTTTGGGGTTTCTTTAGGATTTCTTAAAAATCTTTGGGGTTTTCAGGTCCTTACCCTAAACCCTAAACCCTATAGCCCTAAACCCTATAGCCCTAAACCCTATAGCCCTAAACCCTATAGCCCTAAACCCTAAACCCTAAACCCTAAACCCCAAACCCTAAACCCCAAACCCCAAACCCTAAACCCTAAACCCTAAACCCTAAACCCTAAACCATAAACCCTTTTGGGTTTCGGGGCCAGGATGCGCTCTGTTCAGCGGCTGATGCGCTGACCCTGACTCCGCCCACGGGCCTCCCAGCAGCGATATGGTGGTTTAGGGTTCAGGGTTTAGGGTATAGGGTTTAGGGTTCAGGGTTTAGGGTTTAGGTTTAGTGTTTACTGTTTAGTGTTTAGTGTTTAGTGTTCAGTGTTTAGCGTTTAGTGTTGAGTGTTGAGTGTTGAGTGTTTAGTGTTTAGGGTTTAGGGTTTAGGGTTTAGTGTGTAGGGGAATTAGGGTGCCCTTTTGGGGTCCCTAATTATAAGGGAATCCTACTCTTTAGGGCCCATATATTCAGGATATATATTCAGGATCTCAGAATTTCTGAGTTTCTCTGGCTTTGAGCTGGAAGCTTCAAAGCCGAAGCGTTCAGATGCGAGCGAGCTTCACAGCTCACGGAGACTCCTATATGTGGCCCATGTTCGACCCTAAACCGAAACCTAAACCCTAAACCCTAAACCCTAAACCCTAAACCCTAAACCCTAAACCCTAAACCCTAAACCCTAAACCCTAAACCCTAAACCCTAAACCCTAAACCCTAAACCCTAAACCCTAAACCCAAAACCCAAAGCCCAAAACCCTAAAACTTTTACATCCATTCAAATCTAGACTCCGGAATCCCTAAACCCAACCGCGTTCGGACACGGCAGGGGCCGATATGTTGTGGAAGCACAAGTTCCGCCCTGAAAGCTGGCTCTTACCCACAAACCTTACCTCCCAATCCTACACAGCCAGCCACGTCGAGTGCAGACCTTGCTGGCACACAAGAGCTCTAGCGTCTTTTCTCGGTCAGCTCTTCTCCACACCGTGTGTTGAGCTTTGCAGCTTGTGTTCGAGAAGCCCACGATCTTTTTGCAAACGCCGTGTCTCCACAATGAGCAGAGGATGCTTTAGTAGCTTGAGAACTGCGACATATGGAGGGTGGGAAGATATGTTCCACACACACTTAAGTTTGGAGAAGACATCTGTCCCCCATATTCAGGCATCGCCAGCCTCCAGCGGAAGACGGAGCGAACGCTGCGCACCGTGTCCTCGACGCCCGACGGCCTTGTGGGGAAACTTTCCGGCTGACTTGTGCGATGGGGAGACTTCAAGGTCTTAGGGTGAATCGGAGGGTTTTAGGGGTCTTAGGGTCTTAGGGCTTTTGGGTTTTTAGGGTTTTAGGGTTTTAGGGTTTTGAGGGTTTTAGGGTGTAGGGTTTAGCGCGACAGGCATCGGTAGAGGTCCGCTAGGCCCAGACATTGGACAGAAGAGCCTGTTTGCGTAACCCAAGGACAGCATTACCTGTCGTGGCATTAGGCCTTTAGCGCGGCTGAAAACTTGAGGCTTGAACCCTGACCTCGCTGAGTGACACAGGCGACTGAAGTGACGAGGCCCTGTAATCCTGTTGGACTCACCCCAAACAACCCGAAACCCTGATTGCCCCCAAGCAATACACAAAAACCTACACTCAGTTTAGGGTTTCGGGTTAGGGTTTCAGGTTTAGGGTTTAGTTTTTAGGGCCGAGATACAGCTCCCCACATCCGACCGAGAGCGTTTCGCAGACACAGGAGTTGGATCTCCCAAGCCTGGAGCGACCTGGATGTGGCGTTTGAGGCCAAGGATCCCGAGGCGAGGGCAGGGATGTGGGAGATTTGAGTTTACCTCGTTTAGGGTTTAGGGTCTAGGGTTTAGGGTTTAGAGTTTAGGGTGTAGGGTGTAGGGTTCAGGGTTCAGGGTTCAGGGTTTAGGGCTACAGTTCTATGGGTTATGAAAATTCCTTAATAATAAATTAGGGATAGGCCTAAAATCATACCAAGGATCCCTATATGGTTGATAAGGAATATCCCTTACTTAAGGGCTGCTGGGCAGACGTCAGCCGGGTGAGAGGCCCTCCGCCACGCGGCGGACGAGTGCAGTGCAGCCCGGGGCGTGCTTCGGCTGTCATTAGGAGGGTTTAGGGTTTAGGGTTTAGGGTTTAGGGTTTAGGGTTTAGGGTTTAGGGTTAAGAGCTGGGCCAAGCTTCCGATAGTCCCACTGCAAGTTGCTGAGGCGTGTGCGGCCGCGGGCACGCAGAGCCTTGGATGCTCCGGGACATCCTTTTGCAGGTTGTGTTTGTGCTTCCCCAACACCCTAAACCCCAAACCCCAAACCCTAAACCCTAAACCCTAAACCCTAAACCCTAAACCCTAAACCCTAAACCCTAAACCCTAAACCCTAAACCCTAAACCCGAAGCCCTAAGCCCTAAGCCCTAAGCCCTTAACCCTTAACCCTTAACCCTAAACCCTACTCATCGTAGGGAGCCTGGAGTGCAAGCGCAGCCTATGAACAAGCCATGGGTTTATCTTTGCATCTGTCTTGGCCATTCCCCCCGCCCCTCTAGTATGAACCCCCCGTACCCCTAACATTCAAGACTCCCACTTTTGTTATATTGGAGTATATGGGGGTATTTAAAATTAGGGGGTGAGGGGGGGGGGGTAATTTTAGGGGGAGGGGTCACAGGCACGTGACGCTCGGGATTCGCATTCCCAGCCTGGAACCCTGACAAGTTTCATAGTCAAGCTATGTCAAGCTATGCTCGGCGGATTATACTTCTTGATTGCGGAAGCTTCTGGTTGTAGATGTCCTGCGCGATCTCGCTCTGCATGAGCGTGCCATTGGTGGGGGATTGCATGCAACGCAGGGGACAGCGTATGCTGAATTTTTATTCCCAGCACATTGATTCCCAGCAGAAAGCCCAAAAGTTGAGATCCCCTAAAGTTAAAAACCAAAAGTTGAAATTCCCTAAAGCCCAAAATTTTTAACCCCCCAAAAGCCCTAAAGTTGAACCCCCCCCCCCCTTAAACCAGAAAACCCTAAACCCTAAACCCTACACCCTAAACCCTAAACCCTACACCCTAAACCCTAAACCCTAAACCCTAAACCCTAAACCCTAAAACCCTAAAACCCTACACCCTAAACCCTAAACCCTAAACCCTAAACCCCTAGAGCTTTAAGTTGAAAGGAGCGCCCGGCCGGATGCCGTGATGTTGGACAAGCTGGCGGCTTCCCTTCGGAGCCTCTGCTTTTTGGGGTTTAGGTTTAGGGTTTAGGGTTTAGGGTTTAGGGTTTAGGGTTTAGGGTTTAGGGTTTAGGGTTTAGGGTTGAGGGTGTAGGGTTTAGGGTTTAGGGTTTAGGGTTTAGGGTTTAGGGTTTAGGGTTTAGTAGTCTGGGGCTTAAGGTTTAGCAGTTTGGCACAGGCACAAATCCATCTGGACGAAGAGGGGATTTTGGTACCGCCCCCCACCCCCCCCTGAGCTTCCTTCGGGAGCTACCAGGATCTGCGATGGCTCTTCCAGCTTCGGTATGGAGGCGTGGCCGCTCCAAAGAATGTTCAGGGTTTAGGGTTTAGGGTTTGGGGTTTAGGTGGCGCTTGGGCTTCAGGGATATTGCCGCTACTGCCATAAGGTTCACTGTCCACACCCTCAACCTTCTAAGACCTATAAACCCTGAAAAGCCCCATACACCTCAGAAACCCTTGAAGCCTTGTAAGAACCGTATAAACCCTGCAAACCCTATAAACCCCCCTAAACCCTAAACCCTAAACCCTAAGCCCTAAACCCTAAACCCTAAACCCCAAACCCTCAACTCCTTAGGCGCCGCCACATCCTTGAAAGGCCAGCCGCCTCATGGCCTTCGCAGACGTGCGCCGCGCGCTGGCCCGGCGGCTGGGTGAGGCGGCTGAGGCGGGGGGGTTCTCAGTCTCACAGGGAGGTTTAGGATTCATAGGGTTCGTAGGGTGTAGGCTTTGTAGGTTTTCTTTAGGATTCGGGGTTTATAAGGTTCGTAGGGTTTGCAGGGTTTAGGATTTATGGGGTTTGCATAGGTTTGCATAGGGCTTAGGGTTTAGGATTTCACGTGTCTGTGTGGCAGAATAGAGTCGACGTTGCGAGTTTGGAGTTTGGCACCGGAGGATCACCCGAAGTTCGTAGCCATGGCTATAGCCCAATTCCCCATGAAAGGACAACGGGTTCGTGCACCAACGCGCGGCAAGACCCCCTTTTGCACGCGAGTCTGCTTGTTTATTGTTGCGTTTTCAGGACCCTTCCACGAGCCTCTCGCTATCTGCAGCACTGAACGCGGCCGCCAGCCGCGGTTGCGCCTCGTCTACACACTTCACTCGCCAGCCCCTGGGGAACCTCTTTGACATGAGGCCCCTATAAGCTCGGGATTCATACTATGGCGTGGGAGCCCTGTAAAGAAACGCCGCGCGCTCTCCAGGCCTGCCAGGAGATGCGGCGGACGACTGCGTCGGCCGCGCGCAGGCGTTTCGACGGCAGCTGCTTGAGCGACTCCCGTCAAGGCTCGTGCACCGTAAGAGTCCTCGAGACGGTCAGAATGGATCCTAAACCCTACACCCTAAACCCTAAACCCTCAACCCTAAACCCTAAACCCTAAACCCTAAACCCTAAACCCTAAATCCTAAACCCTAAATCCTAAACCCTAAACCCTATTTGAACGTGACTTCAGGGTGCGCGGTATGGTGTCGGAGCTTGATTCGAACTCCCCGAGAAGCCGAAGCCTGCAAGTCGCACTCCAAGCCCTCTTCAAACCTAGGCGCCACAGGAGGCCCCCTTGTTTAGGGTTTAGGGTTTAGGGTTTAGGATTTAGGGTTTAGGGTTTAGGGTTTAGGGTTTCGGGTTTCGGGTTTAGGGTTTAGGCTCCCTTCAAAGCCCCTTTAAACCCAACAAGAAGGGCATTTTTTTCTCTTCCTAGGTTTTTACTCTTGGGTCTCGAAACCCCAGTCGAGTCTTCGCAGGTGGGGCCTCTGGTCTTCGAGTCTGCTCAGCCGCGCGGCGGTTCTGTGGCGCGGCCGCAAAGGAAGTCCGGAGAGATGATCTGTGGTTTCGGGGCTTTAGGGGGATTGGCTTATGGGTTTTGTTTGGGGTGTTATAGGGGTTTAGGTTTTTTTTGTTTAAAGCGTTTTTTGTAGGGTTTATGTAGGTTTTTTTTTTTTTTTTTGTGTGCTTTTGTTTTTGCAAGGTGTCTGAGGTTTATAGGGTTCAGGAGGGTATAGAGGGTTTTATGGTCTCAAAACCTATGCACTTAGCAGCGCCTGTCCTTTAAACGCTTGAGATCAGGCTTGGGTTAGAGCTTCGGCTAGGGCTTGGCGCGTCATTCTGAATTCTATGGGGGTTTAGGTTTTAGGATTTAGGGTTTAGGGTTCAGGGTTTAGGGTCTTGTTTAAGATTGCCACAAGCACGAAAGTAATCGGGAGTGCATGTATAGACACACACACACACATTGATGATTGTTCTTCTTATCATTGTTGCAATAGAGGGGGTTTACGCAATTAGGTGTACCTTACTGGGGTCCTTATTATAAGGGAAGCCTACTGTTTGGGGGTCCATGTTGCGGGCCCTATTTTCGTAACCCCCTTTTGTGTACTCATTACAAGGCGGCACCCTTGTTAAAAGAGGACCCCCCCCCAAAAAGGGACCATAATTGAAGAACCTACCCAGAACATGCTTCTTAAGTACAGGCCGCTGCGAGCAGTCCGGCTTCCCCGCCTATGCAGGTGGGAGGCCAGCACGTGCCTGGCGCGAGTGCAGAAGGCCATCGCCTTCTCCAGGCCATAGGGGTTCAACTCGAGGGTTTAGGGTTTAGGGTTTAGGGTTTAGGGTTCAGGGTTTAGGGTTTAGGGTTTAGGGTTTATTTCACTTTGCGGGTATTCCCCGAGCTTCTCTTGCCCCCTTTTCGATTCCCCCCCTCTTTTGGCTTCTTCCCTCTTTTCTGGCTGGTTCTTAGAGGGAACGAGGGCACTATCTATACCCTTTAAGCCTTTAAGGTTTAAGGGCTTATATAACGTCGTAATTTTAACGCTATGCGACCCCCCTCGGCCTGGCCCAATGCGGCCGACGTTGGGGGGGGGGCGAAGTTCGGTTTTTGGTGTTAGGTCCGCTTTCAGATCCCGGTTGCCGACGGGGGGTACCCATTCCAGGGGCCCACATGGAGGGGGGTACCTTCGACCCCAGGCCTCGGCGGATTCCCCCATTCCCGACCAAGAACTAGTTTGCCGGTCCCTTTGGTTGTTTTGGTTCCTGCATCGTTCCCGAAAACCCTAAACCCTAAACCCTAAACCCTAAACCCTAAACCCTAAACCCTAAACCCTAAACCCTAAACCCTAAACCCTAAACCCTAAACCCTAAACCCTAAACCCGAAACCCTAAACCCTAAACCCTAACTCCTAAACCCTAAACCCTAAACTCTAAACCCTAAACCCTAAACCCTAAACCCTGCATCGTTCCCCCCTTAGAGAGGACCTCCGGGGCACCGAATGCTGAGCTCGAGCCTGCGACTGCCCTGGAGCAGCTCTTTGGCACCTTGGCGGCGGCAAGTGCGGTTTAGGGTTTAGGGTTTCGGGTTTCGGGTTTCGGGTTTTGGGGTTTAGCGGGTTGGACCGTCTTAGTGCAAAGGTTCCCATTCGGGCGTAGCGTTTAGGGTTTAGGGTTTCGGGTTTAGCAGCAGCGGTTAAAGCCTACCAATAGCTGGACATGTAGGCCGGAGTGCCGTCAAACAACCGACAAAGCTGCTTCTAGTAGGGCGAGGGTTGGCTATAGGTTTGAAGGCTTAGATTCTAGGGTGTACCCTAGGGCCCTAGGGCAGAGAATCGTGAGACAGCTTCGGTCCGCTCAGTCTTCATGCTTTCTTGAAGTCTGGCAAAGGCATCTGTAAGCTAACAAACAGCACCTGTGGCCACAGCGGATCCACCATGTTCAGTCAGAGCAACTTTGGTGTTGCGCACTGCCGTCGATCTCAATCTGGTTCTAGAAACCCCTCGCCTATAGTAGCCTCAGCAGCCCTCACCTGTGAAGCAGCAGTAGCCACGCATGGCCTTCTTCCAGCATGAGTTCATTGTGGAACGGCTGATCATGTTTGCAAATTTGCGCCCCTACAGCCTGCGTGAACTAGGCTTCCCTGCAAATGCTGCAAAAGGCCTGCTGCAGACTTGCTTTAGAGAAGCCACAGCCACAGACTTCAAGAAGCTTGCATTCGACCCCAGATTGTGGCTAGACGGTCCGCAGCCTCTTGCAAAAAGGGAGGTCTGTGAAGTCTACGACGTGCACCACTTGCTGGAAGCTGGACTCGACAAGGCAGAGGTTCTTCAGCTCGATCCCAGAAAGCAAGACCAGCTCGAGGCACACCGCCGCAAGCAAAGGGGCGCAACGGCTCTGCAGCTGCGCCTGGAAGGCCTGAAGGCGGAGACCCTCCGAGCTGCTGGTTTCGATGCCGCGAAGCTTAAGGAAGCAGGCTTTACGGCTGCGGAGCTTCGACGCGCAGGCTTCTACTGCTTCCAGCTACGCAGTGCAGGCTTCGGCTGCCAAGAACTCAAGCAGGCGGAGTGCACAGCCTTCCTGCTGAGAATCAGCGGGTGGAAGTTGACGGAACTTCACTTGGTGGGTTTCACTGCAAAGCAGCTCACGGATGGCGGCTTTCCCTTGCCAGAGCTTCTGGCAGCTGGGTGTACCGAGTTCACGGCTTTGGAGCTTGCCGAAGCAGGTGCGGAGCTGTCGCAGTTGAAGGAAGTTGGATTCGGATGCAAGGATCTCTCCAAAGCCGGCTTTTCAGCTTCGCAGATGCGCGAAGCTGGCTTCAGCATGCGAGAGCTGGGTGTGGCGCTCGGTCTCGCAAAATTAGAGGCTGATGGCTTCAGGAACGTGCAGCAGCTGATAGATGCGGGGTTCGATCCCCACAGACTTAAGAAGCATGGTTACACTGCCAAGATGATGCTTGACGCAGGGGTCCCCTTGCAGGACCTGATCGAGGTCTTCCATGTTTCAGATCTCGCTGCACAGGTCATTCCGGCAACGTTATTGACTGTTGTCAGCAAGAAGAAAGTCATGCGCGCGGGCTGCTACAGCTTACAGAAGTTACGGGAGGCCGGCTTCAGTGCCAAAGAGCTGCGGGGTGAGTTAGGAGACAGAAGGGCTCCTTTGAGAAGAATGCGGGAAGCTGGTTTCACCCTACGGGAGATGGCAACCACTCCCGCGGGCTGTAGGGAGCTGAAGCATGCGGGCTTTGACCTCCTGCAAGAGGCTCACCTCTTTACTCGCGAGGAACTCGTTGGTGCAGGGTACTCTGACGAAGACGTCCTACAGTCATGTTGTCGCGGCTAAACCCTAAACCCCGTAATATTGTAGACCCTATAAACCCTAGACCCTGTAGCCACCTCTAGCCTTGTCACGAACCCTTTGAGTAAAACCCAAACCAGCGAGTGCCACGGGCATGCGCCAGGGCTCGCAGGGGCATAGTACAGCCTGCAGCCCCGGGCCCGGATTCGTCTCGCCTCACTTTCCAGCATTTGCAAGACAGCCGCCCTGCCATGAAATGGGGTTTAGGGTTTAGGGTTTAGGGTTTAGGGTTTAGGGTTTAGGGTTTAGGGTTTAGGGCTTAGGGTTTAGGGTTTAGGGTTTAGGGCTGAGGGCTTTATAGTGCTTAGGGTTTAGGGTTTAGTGAGCCCTTGAGATGTTGAGCCTCTATAAGCCCTAAATCCTACAGCCGAAAAACGCTCAATTTGTGCTTCAGGGCTGACTAGTTACTGCTTTGGGGTTCAGGGCTGAAGGGAAAGTACAAGGGTTTGGGGTTTCGGGTTTCGGGGTGTAGGGGAAGTTCGAGCAGATTCTAGGATCCTGGCGCGATTCAGAAACTGGACGCGATTCAGGAAACTAGGATTCAGGAAACCAGGGTTCAGGAAACTACGCGATTCAGGAAACTAACCGATTCAGGAAACTGAAAGCGCGCGATTCAGGAAACTACGATTCAGGAAACCTGAAGACACGCGATTCAGGAAACTGCGCGATGCAGGAAACTGAAATCGCGCGATTCAGGGGGGGTGGTGTTTCTGAGGGGTTTCCCGAATCCCGGGTTTTCGAATCCAGTTTTTCCAGTTTCCTGAATATTCTTGTCAGGTTTGGGCTTGTAGTGACGAGTTGAGGCTTTGGGGCACTTTACCATAACCCTAAACCCTAAACCCTAAACCCTAAACCCTAAACCCTAAGCCCTAAACCCTAAACCCTAAACCCTAAGCCCTAAACCCTAAACCCTAAACCCTAAGCCCTAAACCCTAAACCCTAAACCCTAAACCCTAAACCCTCTTGTTGCTCAGGCCGCAACTTCGCTGCGGCCCGTGATCTCGACGAGGCTTTTCTGTTTGAGAGATTGCGAGGTCCTCAGCCCTAAACCCTAAGCCCTAAACCCTAAACCCTAAGCCCTAAACCCTAAACCCTAAACCCTAAACCCTAAACCCTAAACCTTAAACCCTGAACCCTTGAACTCTGAAGCCTTTTCCACTCCTTTCTTGGAGCTGCGCAGGCCTTGGAGCTGGGGCAAGGGCTGAAGGAGGCGCGCGGCTTGTGAATGCCAGCTCATGAAGCCAGACGGCCGACAGAAAGCCTTTAAGTTTAGGGTTTAGCGTTTAGGGTTTAGGGTGTGGGGCTTAGGGTTTAGGGTTTTGGGTTTAGGGTTTAGGGTTTAGGGTTTGGGAAACTTTATAGGGTACACAATTATTTGCGGCCAGTCGGATTTTACAGCGGGCCTCGCAAGATCTACGCAGGCCACTGCGGCTGCCCGACGCGTGGAACGCCGCTGAGCTTCCTATGCTTGTAGCTGCGGTGTTGGGTTAGGGTTTAGGGTTTAGGGTTGAGGGTTGAGGGTTTAGGGTTTAGGGTTTAGGGTTTAGGGTTTAGGGCGTAGTGTTTAGGGTTGCGGGTTTGGGGTTTGGGGTTTAGGGATGAGGGATCGCATGCTCGGTAGTCGCAAGGAGTACGAGCACTTGCTGCTGGCTTCATGCCATGGTCGCTGATGTCGTAGAAGCTTGCACTGTGCCGACACAGTCTTGTGGAACACAGGGTTTAGGGTTTAGGGTTCAGGGTTTAGGGTCTGGAGAAGGCACCGACCCCCAGAAACCCAGCAAACTGAAATGCCTTCATCAAGATGTCACCCCAAATTAGTTTGGAGCACGAGAAGCACGAGAAAACACGTGAAGCCGGACCCTACACCCTACACACCCTAAACCCTAAACCCTAAACCCTAAACCCTAAACCCTAAACCCTAAACCCTAAACCCTAAACCCTAAACCCTAAACCCTAAACCCTAAACCCTAAACCCTAAACCCTAAACCCTAAACCAGGCGAGGGAGGGGCGCTACTGGTCTCGACGAACCTGCGCCGCGCGGGGCGGCGGCTGGAGGGGAAGACCATGGGAACACCACTGGGGCCGGCAGAACCACAGGCTTCGAGCGGTTTAGGGTGTTAGGGTGTTAGGGTGTTCGGGTGTTAGGGTGTTAGGGTGTTAGGGTGTTAAGGTGTTAGGGTGTTAGGGTGTTAGGGTGTTAGGGAGTTAGGGTGTTAGGGGTTTGTCTGGAGGTTTCTTGGGCTCGAGTGCGTAGTTTCCTGTTGGGTAGTTCCCGTTTCCATTAGCTGCTACAACCCTAAGACACAAAAGCCCTGAAAATCCTAAACCCCGAAATCCTGAACCCTATTCAAACCCTAAACCCTAAACCCTAGAACCCCGAAACCCCAGTACCCTAAACCCTAAACCCCTAATACCCTAATATCCTAAACCCTAAACCCTAACACCTTAAACCCTAAAACCCCTAAACCCCTAACCCTAAAGCCTAAACCCTAACCCCTAACCCCCTAAACCCTAAACCCGAAACCCGAAACCCTAAACCCTAAACCCTAAACCCCAAACCCTAAACCCTAAACCCTAAACCCTAAACCCTAAACCCTAAACCCTAAACCCTAAACCCTAAACCCCCAGATGCCTGGAGGTCGTCCAGGATGCTGTCCAAGGGCCCGCGACTGAGGTCCGCGGTCAACTCGGCTTCTAGAAGGGTGCGAAGGTTTAGGGTTTAGGGTTTAGGGTTTAGGGTTTAGGGTTTAGGGTTTAGGGTTTAGGGTTTAGGGATTAGGGTTTAGGGGTTCAGGGGTTTAGGGGTTCAGGGGTTCAGGGGTTTAGGGGTTTAGGGGCTTAGGGGTTTAGGGGCTTAGGGGTTTAGGGGTTTAGGGGTTTAGGGGTTTACTGGGTCCTTGTTGGCTTTAATTTTACATGTTTGTTATCATCAAAACCCAATAAGTATTAAAAATGACAATTTTATTTTGTCCCCAATGAAGACCCATTTTAGGGGTTTAGGGGTTGGTTCGTTTTGTGCCGGTCATTGAGGCGACTCATGCCTCAAGGCCAGAAACCTCCAAAGACAAACCCCAAAAGCCGCAAAACCGCAACAGCCCCCGACTCAAAAAACACTAAAGATACTAAAGCTTCAACACCCCACACACCCTCTCCCTAATCCCTAAACCCTAAGCCCTAAACCCTAAACCCTAATTCCTAAACCCTAAACCCTAAAC